AAACTCTTCTGCACCTATGAGAACGTTCCTGCACTCATAGACTCTGGTTCTTCAGACTGCTTCATCAACAACACATTTGTGAAGAAGTTGGCCCTGAAAACATACCAGATTAAACCTCTACAACTATGCCTTTTTGACAGTAGCACTAACTCAATCATAACCCATGCTGTTGATATTCCCCTCCACTTCGCTTCCGGAAACATCACCCCCACAACTTTCTTTGTCACATCGCTGGATGGATCTTGTTCTCTAGTCCTAGGACACAACTGGCTTACCTGCTACAATCCATTGATTGACTGGGTTTCAAGCAGTATTATCTTCCGAACTTCCAAACCTACCAAGACAGTTACTCCGAGCTCTCCCCCATCGTCTCCAGTACCACTGCCATCGTCCGACATCCAACCATCTGATGTTGCGCTAGCACCTTAGCCCCAGGCTCCCATTCCTCCATTACCATCTATCGAGTTTGTCAGCCATTCTGCATTCATGAAGGCTTGTCGACTTGAAGGATCGGTATCCTCAACCTAACCATCCCTTCCAAGGAAAGCCACTTGAGGGCTGCCTCATCCCACACTGATTCTGTTGACCTTTCGGCCATTCCAAAGGAGTACCATGAGTTCGCAGATGTGTTCAGTAAGAGCAAAGCCTCAATGCTGGCACCGCACCATGAGCATGACCTGAAGATCGACCTTGAGGAAGGCACTTCACCACCCTTGGGTACTATGTACTCCCTCTCTACTTCAGAACTCGAGGCCCTCTGGGTGTTCTTAGATGAACACCTAGCCTCCGGGTTCATTCATCCCACTACTTCTGCTCACATGGCACTGGTCCTCTTTGTCTGCAAAAAGGATGGATCCCTCCACCTTTGCGTTGACTTCCAAGGGCTGAACAAGATGACCAAAAAAGATCGCTATCCACTTCCCCGCATTTCTGACCTCCTTGGTGCACCTAGCCATGCCACTGTCTATACCTGACTCGACCTCCGGTATGCTTACCACCTGGTTCGCATTGCGGCAGGCAATGAGTGGAAGACTTCCTTCCGCACGTGCTATGGTTCCTATGAGTGGCTCATCATGCCATTTGGTCTCATGAATGCACCTGCAGCCTTCCAGTGATTCGTCAACACAATCTTTGCCGACCTCTTGGACGTTTCTGTGGTAGTCTACCTAGACAACATCCTTACCTACTTGGAAGACATGGCTTCACATCAGGAGCATGTCCAAGAAGTTCTTAGGAGACTCCGCAAGCATGGCCTATACACCAATCTGAAGAAATGCAAATTTCATACAGACACTACGGAATATCTCGGATACTGCCTCTCTCCCTCCAGACTCACCATGTCCATCGAGAAGGTTAAAGCCATCCAAGATTGGCCCGAGCCCCATAAAGTCAAGGATGTCCAGTCCTTCCTTGGCTTCGCTAACTTCTATCAGCATTTCATCCACCAATACTCTGACATTGTGGTCCCCTTGACATGCCTCACACATAAAGGAGCCCCTTGGTTATTCTCTGATGACTGTCGTTCTGCTTTCAACACCTTGAAAGAAGCCTTCACATCTGCTCCCATCCTGACACATTGGGTACCTGACACCCCCCTCATTGTAGAAACCGACACCTCCGATTACACAATCTCCGGAATCCTGTCCATCCATTGCGATGATGGAGAGATTTGCCCCATCACTTTCTGCTCTAGAACACTCTCGGCACCGGAGCTCAATTATGACAACCATGATAAGGAACTGCTTGCCATCCACAATGCGTTCTGATCATGGCGTCACTACCTTGAAGGTTCAGGAACCCCAATCGACATCGTCACCGACCACAAGAATCTGGAGTATTTCTCCACCACCAAACTCTTGACCCAGCAGCAAGCCTGCTGGTCAGAGTTCCTCTCCCAGTTCCACATGACTGTCCGATTCCATCCCAGAAGACTCGGAGTAAAACCAGATGCGTTGACTAGATGCTGGGACGTCTATCCCAAAGAAGGGGATATGGACTACACTCGCATCAACCCACAGAACTTCCGACTGGTCTTCACTTCAGAGCAACTCACTGCATCCTCACGAGCCACATTCCTAGCTGCCACAGTAATCCGGGCAGCTGTACTCGTCGACACAGAGGCTCTCCATCGAGACATTCTAGCCTCCCTCTCCTCCGATACCACAATCTCTTCTCATCTCGCTTCCCCCAACCTCCCCAATTCCCACTGGTCTGTTGGTGCCGAAGGCCTGTTAAGGCTGGACAACCACATCTACGTTCCGGATTCCAATGACCTTTGTCTCCATGTTTTGCAAGACAAACATGACCACCAGCTCTCTGGACACTTTGGTCAAAACCGGACCCTGGACCTAGTTCATCGTGATTATACCTGGCCAGGTATCTGTAACTTCGTCAAGAGTTACATGTCCTCCTGCACTGCTTATGCCCATGCCAAAGTCCCCCGTCACAAGCCTTACAGCTTACTCAAACAACTCCCTATCCCTGAACGTCCTTGGAACTCCATCTCCATGGATTTCATCAAACAGCTACCCTCCTCTTCCGGATTCACTTCCATCTTGGTCATCATGGACTGCCTGTCCAAGCAGTGCATTTTCATTCCTACCCATGATACCATCACCTCTCCGGAACTGGCTAAGCTCTTCCTCCTCCATGTGTTCTCCAAGCATGGAGTTCCTTCCCACATTACCTCCAACAGGGGTCTGGAGTTTGTTTCTCATTTTTCCATTCACTTGGTAAAGCCCTTGACATCCACCTCCACTTCACCTCCAGTTATCATCCAGAAGGAGACGGACAGACCGAATGGATGAACCAGATGCTCGAGCAGTACCTGCATATCTATAGTAACTATCAGCAGGATAATTGGTCCAAACTCCTACCTCTTGCAGAGTTTGCATACAACAATGCTCTGAATGCCACCACAGGCATCTCCCTGTTCTTTGCCAACAAAGGCTACCATCTGAACATCACCATTCACCCAGAGCAAGACCTAACATCAGTACACACCCAAGAGTACTCGGTAGATCTCGACTCCCTCCACCACTTCCTTTGCGAGGAAATGCACCACGCTCAGATCCGCTACCAGGGCCCAGCAGACTCTCATTGGAGTCCTGCCCCAGCTTTCGAGGTAGGAACTTCGGTCTATGTAAAGGCCAAGTATCTCCGTTCCACCCAACCTTCCAAGAAGCTCTCCAAGGAAAACCTCGGCCCATTCGAGACCATTACCCATGTTGGAACCCACTCCCCACTCTCCACCTGCCAGAAAACATGCAAGCCATTCACCTGGTATTCCATGTCTCGCAGATCAAACTCTCCATCCTTAACATCATTCCAAACTGTCACCAGCCACCTCCACCCCCAATAGAAATTGAAGGTGAAATGGAGTTCGAGATCGAAGAGATACTCGACTCCAAGATTGACCAGTGTAGACGCAACAAGTTGCTCTACCTGGTCAAGTGGCTAGGCTATGAAGGGACTGACGAGGAGACACAATGGCTCCTTGCCAGCGAACTTGATCACACCTCCGACCTCATCAAAGCTTTCCACTCTTGGTACCCAGACAAGCCTGGACCTGAAGCTCCTTAGGAACCTCAACTCCTCTCCCATCTCTCCTTTCCCTCCAACTCCTCATTTCAATTTCCATTTTCATTTTTTCTCTCTTCTGTAAGTACAGCTCCCCTCACCTTACTAATTCTGGGCCTTCAAGGGTTCAGGCCTAAGAAGGGGATACTGTCATATCCATCCACAGCCATCGCCCTTGACCACCTCCCCTCCTCCAGATTACCTCCCCTCCCCTGCCACTAACCTTGGAGCCTCCGGTTTCCGCAATCACCTCCGACCCCCCCAATGGTCACCACCTCTCCAATTCAATATATTACCTACGCGTCCCTAAGTACAGAGCCCTGAAGCTCTCCAGACAGCTCTGACATCCGCTAGTGCACCCCCACCTCCGCTGGGCAATTCACTTGCTTGCCCTGCAAGTCTACCTTCAGGCCTATCCCCACTTTCCACTTGCAGTTCTTAACCCATCATTCCATTAAACCCGCAACCCGACTCGTCGGTAATATTCAATTGGCTAACATCTATCCCCATTAGCTCCACTCTGCTTGGTCCTGCTGTTCACAGGCCCGCCCTTGCTGTAACTATATATATACTTAACTTGTACATAGGTTACACTTCAGTGATAAAATCGACTAGAGTTGATCCCCTTTTAGTTCTCATTGCCAGTAAGTAAATTAGGGCACAGACGTGTAACTTGGCACAGCGCTCCTGGCCTGATTCGCTGAGGCTGAAGCCCTCCACCACAGAGACAACTCCCTCATCTCGATCTGATCTCTAACACCCTCCCAATTTCCCCCCTCAATTTTTCCCTCATTCCCCACCTCATTCCCCCCCCCCCCAATTCCCACCTCAATTTCCCCCCATTTCTCCCCCATTCCCCCCTCCAAATTACCCCCCATTCCTTCCCAATTTCCCCCTCATTTCCCCCTCATTTCCCCCCCCCCCCCATCCCCCCCCATTCCCCCTTCAATTTTCCCCTCATTTCCCCCCCATTCCCCCTCCAAATTTCCCCCCATTCCCCCCTTCAAATTTCCCTTCATTCCCCCCCTCAAATTTCCCCTCATTTTCCCCCTCATTTCTCCACTTATTTTCCCGCATTTTCCTTAAGTAATTTCAGATTAACTGTATATGTATATCCCTAAATTTTGTTAGAGACTGGATCAAGACAAGGGAGTTGTCTCTGTGGCAGAGGGCTTTGGCCTCAGCAACTCAGGCCAGGAGCACTGTGCCAAGTTGTCTGTGCCCTAATTTCTTACTGGCAACGAGAACTAAAAGGGGATCAACTCTAGTCAATTTTATCACTGAAGTGTAACCTATGTACAAGTTAAGTATATATATAGTTACAGCGAGGGCGGGCCCATGAATAGCGGGACCAAGTGGAGTGGAGCTAACGGGGATAGATGTTAGCCAATTGAATATTACCGATGAGTTGGGTTGTGGGTTTAACGGAATGATGGGTTAAGAACTGCAAGCAGAAAGGGGGGATAGGCCCAAAGGTAGACTTGCAGGGCAAGCAAGTGAATTGCCCAGCGGAGGTGGGGGTGTGCTAGCAGACGTTGGAGCTGTCTGGAGAGCTTCAGGGCTCCGTACTTAGGGAGGCATAGGTAATATATTGAATTGGAGAGGTGGTGACCATCAGGGGGGTCAGAGGTGATTGCAGAAACTGGAGGCTCCAAGGTTAGTGGCAGGGGAGCTGTCAGGATACCAAGCTGCTCGGAGCTAAGGTCAAGAGATCCAGTGGAAGTGGAGGTAAGACTAGGAAGGTCTGGATTGGAATCAATAGGAGAACCGCGAGGTGTGCTAGGCGACACAGGCTCCAGCTGAGCAGCGAGGGGAAATGAGAGAAGAAAGCTGGTCTTCCTGCTCGCTACTCACGGTGTAATATACTGTAGCCCACACACACAGCTAATCTACGAGGCACTGTACATACCAACAATCAATGATCCAGGTTTGTCTGGCTGTGTTGGATCATGGAACATGGAACATGGATCTTGGAGTGGGATCAGATCATAAGGCTGTACAGGGATCATGGATCATGGAATCCGGGCGATCATAGATCATGGAATCAGATCATGATGGTAAGTAGGCTGGAAGTGGCCAGAAGTGGGTGTACTCTGACAGGAGCGGAGGTAATCCAGAGGAGCGGAGGTGGTTGAGGGGGATGGCCATGGATGGATATGACAAATTTGGTCTATATATTAATTTGGCTATATACCCTTGGTGTGTAGTGCTGCATTGGGGGCTGAAAGTTTAGCTCAGTTTGTTCAGTTTCCTGCATGGTAGGGACTTGGCTGTGACTCATCACATGATGCCAGAGTCAATGCTCTTAAATTTTAATTTTGATATCGGATAAATTAAACACTCAGGGAGCTCATATAGATAATAGTCCCCTGTGTGCAAATATAACTCTATGAGCTTTGACTACTTTGGGGAGCTCTGAGAGAAGGGGACCTGCAATTTCAAAGTACTGAAGCTCTGAGAGCTCTGAGAGCTCTGAGAGCTCTATGAGCTCTCAGGCCTCTGCATCCAGGTTTGCTGATGTAACAGCAGCTGAAGGGTCCATGTTGCATTTGTGGAAGCATCAACTGATGTTTTCTTTACCACAAAGTGGCGTCTGCGACACAGTGCACCGCTACACTCTTCAGCGAAGGTCCTGGTATATTCAGGCATGTGGCAAATTTTGTGCCCCACTGCAGCGATGGTTTCGGGGCATGACCTTGTCAGGGGTGCACAAATTCTTCTACTATATAGAGTCAATTCGGGTAATAATCCACGAATAACCAACCTGGCTAATATGCTGATGCATCGCCTTGATGACCGGATCTTTCCCAGCCATCTTCCTAGCCAAAGAGTGAATATGTCTTCCCAACGGGCCTCATCTCCCCCTCCTGGCATCGTCTTGTATCGTCCCCTAAACTCCTGCTCACGGAAATTGTTGCGGGAGGTTTTGAGAGCAATTTCGCGGTTGAACGACGCCAAACGGTGCACTGGCTGACGAGAAATTTCGAAATTTGTGAAATATCAACTACGTATTTTGGGATCGTGTTCATATCGCTGGTTGGAATTTCGGCGAAGAAAGGATCTAATTTGGAAGGTTTCATTCATTCTTGCAGTCTGGAGCGTGGCCATCACAAAGGGAGGATTAAATAGATCTGAAAGGCATAAAAGCGTGGTCTGGGCATTAGTTCTCCCCATCAGTTCCTTCTCCCCCCCTCGCTCTCGGAACCCCAGTCGCTACTCGCCTTTGCTGTCCTTGGATCGTCTCTCGACGCCTGGTTTGTGGCCATTCTGAACTTCTTTCACTCCATGCATCGAGGCCTTGACGTCCCACTCGTTGTCCACGTTGACGTTCCCCCATCAATCTTCCACCCTTCACTTGATACCCTTAGCGCGTTACTCATGTTGCCATTCGAACCATCCACGATCCTTCAAGTCCCTTCCTGTACAAGTTCCCTGCCTATTACGCAACAACTCTGACGTTTCGGATGATCTACGCATGGGGCCCTCCGATGGGTGCGCAACCGCAGAGCCTGCCAGTTCCTTTTTCCCTACGCCCTTGCTCCCGGAACTCTTGTCGTCACCATCCTTGCATCATCAATGTCTCGTTGGTAGCCACTCAAACCCTTTCCTTTCGCGAACTATCGGATCCTGAAGCTTTGGGTCATATCCAGGCTGCCAATTTTCACTTATTGGCGCACCCAAATCTACAAAAGAAATGCCCCTTCCGCCTATCCAACCGACTTATGATCACAGCTCACATCTTCATGCAACCCGTCGCGTCTGCTTCGGCGAACTGCTTGTGGGTCAGTTTTACCGGGTATCGGGTCTACACATCCCGTTTCCCCTCTGTGACTGTTTGGGCTGCCGATGGACTCCGACGACCCGTTGCATACCTTATGGATTTGACGCGCCTTGCAGGTTCCATGGACAGAGGGGAGTGGAAAACAAAGTTGAGTACGGGGACCCATACACACCCCTTTCTATCCAATGGACGCACGGTGAGAAAGAACGACCCACCTTCCTTTCTGCCCCACCATGTTTCTATCACCGCATGCGCTTTCCTCGGGCCGTTTCTCTCAGCCTTTCGGTTTGGGGCACCCCGTCGGCAAGCTTCTTTCTGTGTATTTCGTCTTGGATCTTTCCCTTCCTGTGTAGCTCATCGATCAGTGTTATACCCTATTTCTGGTCCATACTTCCAACAAAAACGGCGAACACATCACTTCCGTCATACAAATAGTACGTATCATGATTTTCTTTTAGCCAGCAAGCAATTGAATTCGTTCACGCAGCAGTATGTCCCGTTATTTCGGGAGAGTGGGAGAGGGGCACTTTTGCGGGATGCCCTCGTGGCGTCGGTATGGACATGTTCCCACAGGCGCTTGCGCCTGTTGTTCATGCCCCTTTCCTGTTAGGGTGCGAGCCAGTTGGGTCGTATGGTATCCACCCGACAGGTTTGGCCGTAAGTATCATTTCCCCTCTCATATTGAAACTCATGCTGACATCCTTACATGTGCAGGAATATCTTACGTCGCCCTCATTGTTGGGCAAGGAGCAAATTTAATGGTAAGCCGGTCAGGTCCACTCGTGCGCCACTAACATGATTACGCCACTAGTGGGAGCTTCCCCTACATTAGTCGATTTGATAGCTCAGCTTCGCCATATGGTACGCTAGAGGCATGTTAACTGTAAGTACAGTTCTGGATTCGTGCAGTGATCTGTTCCACTGTTTCACCTATCCTAGCAGACGTGTATTTATCCAGGTAGTTGTGTACAATTAATATTACTTTTCATTGCACTGTTTACGAGAGACGGTGCCTATTGAGCTCTGCGTTACTTTCGTCTATCTGGTATCCACCCAACAGGTTTGGCCGTAAGTATCATTTCCGAGACTCATGCTGACATCCTTATATGTCCAGGGATAACTTATGTCGCCCTCATTGTTGGGCAAGGAGTCAATCTAATAGTAAGCTGATCAGGTCCACTCGTGTATTTTTTTCGCCACTAACATTGGGTTACGCCACTGGCGTGAGCTCTCCTGCATTGGTTGATTTTATGGTTCAGCTCCCCCATAGAGGCACGATGACCGCAAGTACAGTCCTTTTCTTATGCCTAGATTCGTGCTGAGTTTTGTTCCACCTGGGAGGCAAACCCACACCGAACGTTCCATATTCTATGCTGAGTCGGTGAAACACCCGGCAATTGTTGGTCTTCTACGTAGCCCCTTCTCATTTCCATTATATTAGCCCTCAATTCTCATTACACTATCCGCTAGAGACACGATGTTTGCCTGTACCGCGCGTTCTTTCGTGTTTCACCTGTCCTAGCAGACGTGTATTTATCCAGCGTGGCTGCTAACAGACCTCAGCCTCGCAGCCGACACGAACGTACGATGTAAACTTATTGAAGTGTGCCAATGCTTGCACGCGGGCCACTAGCATTGTCTTTGTGGCCTAGCTGAACATCCATGGACCGCCGAAACGACTCATCCCCTTCGGCAAGAGGAATCACGCGGTTCCAACAGCCGGCTTAGCGGAGTTGCCCGAATTTATTCGTTTATTCGTTCCCACCCCCCAAGCCAATTCATTTTCAACGGTTCCCACAATAACCGGCGAATCAAAGCTTGCTCCTCTTTTCACTCCTCTCTCTGTCAGGTCCTAGCTTCCTGTCTTGCTGCGATACTACCTTAGGGTCCCCTCATCCGGATAACCGGTCTTAGACTGTTTGCAGTAAAATAAGTAGATCATAGACGCGTATCGAGGAAAGCACCACTCCGTGTACAGGAAGATGTCAGAGAAGAAGCAAACTGCTAGTTCTATAAAGTCATTTATCTCGGGTGGATGTGGTGGTGTTGCGGCTGTACTCGTTGGTAAGTGCGAACACTGTAAACTGAAATGTGACAAAACAAATCCGGGCCACTAACTATCTTACATTTACCCTCCTTGGTGCGCGCGCCATCATTATGTGATTATTGCGCTCGTCCCTCGCGTTCGCTGTGGTGACTGACTCATTATCGACTTCGAATGTGCTCCGGATCCGGTTGTGAATGGGAATCTCATTCTGAACGTCTAATTTTTCTTTAAACACCGCTGCTTCTAGGACACCCCTTTGACCTCACGAAGGTCCGACTACAAACTGCTCCGCAGGGGACATACACTGGTGCGATCGATGTTGTGAAGCAGACACTTGCCAGGGATGGGCTAAAAGGGCAAGTTCATTCTATATTTCCTATCCGAACAAGAATTCCTGTGAATTGCGGAGGGGTCACCCTTAGTGAGCCTGATTGGTTCGGCATTGAGAATGGTCATGTACGGGTGTCGGGGCGACTGATATCTTGACTATTTACTTTTGGCGTGAGACCTGTTGAATGATGGACTGACTGAAACGATGCCTGGTCTTCAGGATGTATCGAGGAATGGGACCGCCTCTCGTTGGAGTAACACCCATCTTTGCTATTTCGTTCTGGGTATGTTTACACTCATCTTCCTCTTTCGCCCTCCGCTCTTCACTGATCATTCCACTTTCTGCAAACAACCCCACCCCCACTTCTTAACTTCAATGAATATACCTATGCACATCACTACTACTGACCGTAACAACAGTCATACGACCTGGGGAAGAAGATCGTCTATTCTTTGACACCTAATCGGGCCAATACTAAATTATCAACGGCGGAATTAGCCTTTGCAGGGTTCTTCTCTGCTATCCCTACAACCCTCGTCGCAGCACCAGCGGAACGAATTAAGGTCGTGTTGCAAGTGCAAGGTCAAGGTGCATTCGTGCCAGCAGTTCCCTGGTAATATTCCGGGTAATCAGGTTGCTCGGTATCTATTTCTTATAGGCACGGCTGCTACTGCATATAACGGGCCTATCGCTGCCGTAAGAGGGCTGTATAAAGAAGGGGGGTTGAAGAGTATATTCCGTGGTTCGGGGGCGACGCTAGTCCGTGATGGACCGGGTAGCGCTGCGTACGTCCAGTTGTCCTCTTTCCCCCGCTCCTCCCTCCGTCTTACAATGCTAATTTTCGATGGACACTTTATGGGAAAATAGCTATTTCGTAACATACGAAGAATGCAAGAAAGCACTCACACCTGCTGGATCGGACCCTTCGCAGTTGAACCTGGGTGCCGTGATCGTTTCGGGTGGTATGGCGGGCGTTGCGATGTGGTCTTTGGGTATTCCTCCTGATGTACGTCAGTCTTGTCCCTCTGGGCGATATTTAGGACTCATGATCATTACCGGGGGACCGCTTGATAGGTGATCAAATCACGTATCCAATCCGCACCGCAGGGAACATATAGCGGATTCATCGATTGCGCACGGAAGACAATCGCTCAGGATGGAGTGATGGCGCTGTTTAAAGGGTTTGGTCCTGCTATGGCTAGGGTACGTTTCCTCCCTTCAATAATGATGGTCTATGATTTATCTTTCGTGTGATTAGGCTTTCCCGGCTAACGCAGCTACTTTCGTACGTTCTCTTTCATCTAGTAACATACTTACCTTACACTGTTGTTTTTCTCAAGCTCGGTGTGGAAGCATCACTGAAATTGATGGACAAGCTGTTCTAGCTGCATATATGTCTCAAGTGATCAGATACGATACTTAGATAATATACACACTCGAGCCCCCCCGCAACTTAGAGTGCCAATGCTGCTGAGGTTCATTCACTAAGCACTGGAAGCGAATGACAGTCCGGCTTGCAAGGAGAAAACCATAGGACCAGAATCTTTTCAGCTGCCAGTGGTACGAATACTGCTGTCGGTATGTCGTGTATGATTGACGGCCAATTGACGGCCTTGAACCTCTGCCAACCCCCGCGGTATTCAAGATTCAAGATTGGCTCTGAGATTCCGACAATTGTTTTAGCGAGGTCAACCAGTAAGAGATGTGATGGTTGTATGTTCTCGAGATGGCTAGTGAACGCAGTCAAGACTGGAGTCGTGGGAAGCAGTACACAGCCATCTTTCGGTTCCGTTTGCGCTCTGCATTTTTTATACGCTTTGCTGTCGTAAGATGGGTCTCCTACGCGTTGAAGAAAGCGATGAGAGTTCCGAAACTGTTCAACGCCCGTTGATCCATGATGCGCAGGGTACTTTCCTGCTCAACACTGATTTTCCTCAGCAAAATGGAGAGGATGAAGACCCGTATCCGGTGGATGCCATTCAACTCACGGCCGTCCGCCTTGATGACTGAATCCCTGTTTCTTTCCGTTATAGGAAAGTTTCTTTGGGACGAAACCCGGCTTGAACGTCCTGCTTGCCATTGATCCAATTGCAGACGGCGGGATCACCAGCCTTGCCACAGCTGGACGACCACACCCGCTTATGCGGGCCTTTTCTACCTCATTCACCTTCACCACGTTCTCAACTTTTTCCAATGCATCGACCCTATCAGTCCGCAGTTCCGGGAGGACATTTTTCCTAAAGGAACTGTGCAAACAAGTCGTGGATAAGCATTTGTGGCTTCAAACTGCCAGGATTGTTAGCACAACCTGCTATGCTGAGCGGCTATACCTATGGCTCCTAGCGGATCGGATCGGATCGGATCCGGATCAGAATCCGCGGATTTTGAGGTTTGAAATAAAATCCGTATCCGGGGGCTAGAAATCCGCGGATATGCGGATCAACCGCAGATTGTAGATAAAATGTTCCAAAGTTGCATTTTGTCAGAATTGTCCTTGACGAGAGCTTTCTAACAATCCCAAATTTGTCCATATTGGTGGAGAACTGATGGAAATATGGGGAGAATGGTGGAAAACTTGGAGGTCAAATGCCTAATTTGGGAATAACAGGCCTGGGTGGTCAAATAAGACTTGAAAAAATTGGAAGAAAATATAGAAACATAGGAGGGGTATCTAGAACAGTAGCAACAATAGATCCGCGGATAATCCGCCCATCTGCAGATTAGAAACCGCGGATATTATCCTGTCAAAAGCCAAATCCGCATCCGCGGATTTTCGGATAAATCTGTGGATATCTGAGTGTTATCCGATCCGCTAGGAGCCCTAGCTATACCTCATCCTCCATTGTTTCCTTATCTTCCAGTTACGCTGTCCAGAGAAAAAGGATATATGGATGCAGATTGATAGAAGGACTAGATTAAGCATCTTCTTGCTTGTGCGAAGACTTGGGAAAACTTGCATCAATGATACAGTTGTGGACAGGCAAACACATTAAAGTTTCCAGACTGGGATTTTTAGTGCTGGACAATTTTTCAAGGAAATGTTTTAACAAATGTTATGAGTATTTGGGTGACTTTTGCAAGAGAAATATCCAGTATGGCAATCAACATTAATAGGCTGGTGGATGAATTATACTTGAGAATGGCCTCCATTTTGCTAGACTCATCCCCTTCTTAGGGATGTAATTGTGAGGTCTCAGTGGGTAGCTCAGCACACAGAGCTGTAAGTGTGTCAGGGCACACCCCACCTGACCCCACGCCACGCCACCCTACTGCTCCCCTGCTATCACTCCCTGTTTCTTCTTTCCCCTTTTCCTTCTTTCTTTCTATTTCCATTCCATGGTCGACTTCCCCTTCTCTATGTATTACTACACACCTAACCCCGCTCCCCCGATCGCCGCACGCATTCCCGCTCACAGAGTGGCACACCTCCAAGATCTCCCACAGAGATACCCAGGGGAGTGCGGCTATGTGCGGGGATGACATGGCTCCTCCCACGTGACCCCAACCGCATGTATATAATAGCGCCTGGGGTGGGGACAGAAGAAGCAGTCTTCTTCTCAACTTCCCACTTCAGGTAAGTACTGTAGCTTCCCCTTTTAATGATAATTCAACTTCCCACTTCAGACTAAGTGGTCGGGGACGCTCACCCCATAACGGGACCACCGCTACGCATAGCCAACATCTGTCCCATCGGGTCCCTTGCACCGGGACCTCGCCGCTGTTGGAGCTGTCCCTGACAGCAGAAGAAGGCTTTAACCTCATTTCCCCCGCCTCCCCCATCTCCCCTGCTATGGTGACCGAAGAGCAGTATGACGAGCTGCTGTCCCGATTCCAAGAGCTCCAAGCTATTGTAGAGAGCCAAGTCCAGAACCAACCCCCAGCTGTGCCTGCACCCACGCCAGCACCCACACCTGCACCTGCCTGCCCCAGACCCAAACCGCCTAAAGTTGCCCCCCCCCACCCCCTTCTCTGGAGCAACAGAAGACCTTGACCGCTTCAAGGCTGAATGTGGCATCTACTTCCATGTTCGGGCGGCGGAGTTTCCTGACGCCCTCTCCCAGATCCTCTTTGTCCTGTCCTACATGAAAGGAGGGACTGCGGGAGCATGGGCAACGCAGCGTACCATTGCACTGCTGACGATGGGCTCCCCTGGGCTTACCATGGACGAGTTCAACATGGAACTCGACGCCATGTTCCAAGACCTGAACCGTGAAGCCACGGCCAGGCAGAAGCTGGCCACCTTGCGACAAGGCACCGACTCTGTGGACAAGGTCATCCAAGAGTTTGAGATCCTCGGCCCCACCTCGTGGCTAGGAGACGTAGGGCTAGTAGACCACTTCGAACAGGCGATCAACTCCTGACTCTGAGAAAGCATCTACCGCCTCCACCCCATGCCGACTACCTGGGCCAAGTGAAAATGCGAGGCCACCCTCCTTGACAACCAGTGGCGATGCTTCCAGGCAACCCAACCCTGCTTCCCCCCAGCCAGGCCCCAGCTCCCACCTGTGAGATTCCCACTCCCTACCACCCTCCCACAAGCCTGCCCAGCCCCTGCACCACCGCACCCCCAACCTGCTGCTGCACCGCTGCCTCCTGCACCACACCCTGTGGCGGGAGGAGGGCCGCAACCTATGGACCTCGACCGCTCGAGGATAGACCAAAGACGAGGTGGCCTCTGCTACAATTGCAACGCACCGGGGCACATCGTGCAGGACTGCCTGCAGCCAAAAACCCGCTGAGCCAGGTGGATGCACCCAGAGGACCTCAGGGCACTCATGGAGGGGCTGAGGAGGCAATTGGTGGATGAACCAGGGACAGAGACAGATGGAGGAGAAGGGCAAGAGGTAGGAGCCCAAGAGGATTTTCAGGAAGGCGACCGGTGAGGGACACGTCCTGGCCGCCTGTAGGCGATAGTACTAGCTCGTGTAGATACCGTGATGTGCCTAAACCAGCGCCGAGGTCCAAATTCCACCAAGTCATCGCCAAGAAAAAGAGGAAAACTGTGTCCTCGAACAGTAAGGACAGAGAAACACCAAGCGCAGCACCGGAAGTAGTGGTCCCGCCACCCGCCATCTACGTACTGTCCAAGCAACCCCCCAGATCCCTCAACCTAGCTGTAAAGCTGACTACCCTGACCTCCCTTGCCACTGTCTCTGCGTCCGCCCTCCTAGACTTGGGGGCCACTGGGAACTTTGTAAGCCCCGAGTTTGTCAGAAAACACCGGCTTGAGACGATCCCGCTCCCCCAACCCATCCCCATCCGCAATGTCGATGGCACCCCAAATGAGAATGGGGCCATAACCGAGGAACTAGAGGCACTCCTGACGTTTGGATGGCACATGGAGCGGGCCCGCTTTGCTGTCGCAAACCTCGGGCGACAGTCCCTCATCATCGGACACTCATGGTTGCTGCACCACAACCCAGAGGTAGACTGGATGTGGCAGAAGGTCAGTATGTCCCGCTGCCCATCCTCCTGCCGGTCGGTGCAAGGACATGCTGACTTGGACCCCACAGTGGAACCTGGGGACGGGATTTACGCTGCCATCATCCCTCCAGGGTGGGGACATGAACTGAGAGCAACCATGACACCATCTCAGCGGATGGCCCAGGAAGCCCGTGAACCAGAAGTGGAACCCATGCCATTTGAGGCACTAGTCCCAGAACAGTACCAGGACTTCCAGGATGTGTTCTCGAAAGAGGCCTTCGACCAGCTGCCCCCCAGAAGCCCTGGGACCACGCGATAGACCTGGTGCTGGATGCCAAACTCCCAAGAGGGAGGACCTTCCCCCTGTCACGACCAGAACAGAAGGAGCTGGACGAGTTCCTGTGTGAAAACCTGTGGAATGGGTGCATATGTGTCAGGGTTCAGCACCCTGCCTTAGGGTGCCCCGGACTCCCCACCTACTTTACCCCCTTTTATTCTTTGACTGTTGCCTTGTTGTTGCCTTTGTGTGTTGTGTACACGCACGCACACGGGATAGCGTGGGAACTTTCTGAGCGAGCAGCTTGCCCAGAATGTTCCCACGGGCCACAGCCACAGTTCTGGGCAAGCAACTCGCCCAGAACATTCCCACGCTTACTGGGCACTGCCACCTGGATGTTCCCTCCGGGTCACACTACACAACTCTAGGAGCTGTATAGTTGTGGGCATGTGACCCATTCCTTTATATAGCAACCATGCGGGGAGATGAGACCTTTACCCTTCTTCTCATCTCATGCCCTGCATAGTGTGAGGACAGGTTAGATGGGGGTTGAGGTCAGGGAGCCTCCGAGTCTGAGGCCGGGCCCTGACAATATGAGCATCCAAATCCCCGATGGGAGCCCCAGTCTTCTTTGTCAAGAAGAAGGATGGATCTTTGCACCTAGTCCAGGACTACCGAAAGCTCAACGAGATCACGGTCAAAAACTCATACCCCCTCCCACTCATTTCGGACGTTCTCGCACACCTCCGAAACGCTAAGTACTTCTTGGCGCTAGACCTGCGCTGGGGATTTAACAACGTCCGCATCAAAGACAGCGATGAGTGGAAGGCAGCGTTTTCGACCAACTGGGGATTATTTGAGCCTACTGTCATGTTCTTCGGCTTGTGTAACTCCCCGGCGATGTTCCAAACAATGATGAACGACATTCTCCAAGGCTTCATTGACCGAGAGGTCGTCATCTGCTACATGGATGACATATTGATCTTCACTGCCACCCAGGAAGAACACCGGAAGGTCGTCTGAGAGGTCCTGGAGACGTTGCCGAAGCAGAGGCTCTTCTTGAAGCCGGAAAAGTGCAAGTTTGAGCAGAAGCGGATCAAGTACCTCGGCCTTGTCATCTCCGAGGGAAGTGTTGCGATGGACCCCATGAAAGTCCACGGTGTCCTTGACTGGCCAACCCCAACCAAGGTCAAGGAAGTACAGTCCTTCTTGGGGTTTGTCAACTTCTATCGCCGGTTCATCAAAGACTTTTCCAAGACAGCCCGCCCCCTCCACATGCTGACCCGCAAAACCAAGTCATGGACCTGGGGACCTGATGAAAACTGCACTTTCCAGGCCCTCAAAGACACCGTCACCTCCGCCCCAGTCCTCGCCTTCCCCACTGATACGGGCCGCTTCAAACTCGAGTGCGATGCCTCTAACTTCGTGACCGGCGTGGTCCTATCCCAGCTCCAGACAGACGGAGAGTTCCACCCCGTAGCTTTCATGTCCAAGAGTTTTACGGACGTGGAGCGTAACTATGAGGTGTATGACAAGGAGATGCTCGCGATTGTATGCGCCCTCGAGGGGTGGCGGTGCAAGAGGGCTTGCGGCTCTCTATGCCAACTAAGCTCGTGGGGCCAAACTCTCCAAAATCCTACTTTCTTGACTAAACTTTGCTATGCTCGATCTTTAACTCCACGGTGGGTTCTCCGGGATTCCGCAAGGTCCGGGCTTGTCAGAATCGGGATTCTTGTCAGAGTCGGAATACTGTCAGAGATCTGGGATGCTGTCAGAGACTGGGAATATTGTTGGAGTCTGGCAGACTGTCAGAAGACAGATAGACGACGGATTGGGTTCTGTC